GATCTGACAGGCGCAGCAAATGCTAATGTGGCCTTTATCATTGTTTGTTCTGTGGGGTGGTTCAAAATACTGCTTTCATTGAAATAGTAGTGCTCATGTTCACACTGCACGATTTAGGTGATGTTGAATGGTTTATACTTTTTTTTTAATGTAAGCTTTCTTTTTGATACTGCTCCAAGTTTGATCTTTTATGATAAACAATGCATGTTCTTTTTTTTCTGTAACCTGCTTCAAATTTGGAATCGAGTGCTTCAAAAGTAACATTTTGCTGCCTCAAAAATTGCTCTAAACTGTATTTCGGCTGTTGCACTCTCACAAGCTGGTTTTACTGCAGTGGAGTGGTGCTAAGCCTTGAAAGCACCTATGCCGCGAAGCCTCACTTCAAGTTTAAAGGGGCCCTGGAACACTTTTTGAGCATGGTCAGCAAATACTGCCGATCGGTAGTAGAGGCTCCCGACAACACGCGAGCCAAATATTATAGCATAGCATGTGGCCTGGAATTCACAATAAATTATCAAAGCCAGCTGAATATTGCTTTCTCTTCTCTCGCAATAAATCGCTCGTAGTAAGCCAATCTATCAGCTGTTGGCTGATTTGAACATGGCGCGCTCTGTCGTTACAGAGATCGTCGCAAAAGGACGTTACCTGTCTACGCGTGCGCGCGTGACCGCACTGAAAAAGCCACATAGTGGAAGAAAAAAAAATCACAGCTTATCCACGGAGTGAATGATGATAAAAAGGGCCAAGCGTCTGTCAGCCCGTCCGTGCTGCAGTCCCTCCGCATGACTATCCGCGAGTCTGTCTGTTCGTGCATCCATTCGTCCGTCCACCTGTGCGTCATCTAGTGAATACTCCAAGTACTGCCATCTCCCATTTCGCATCCCCTGTGGCACATACCCGCCCTAGAGCGAGTATATGCCACCAGTGGCTACGTACTACTACATACATACAAGGGTTGGACAGACCCATGTCTTAAGCAGCTTCGCCCCTAAAAATAAAAAGTGCTCAAGGTCACGAGGCATGCGTGACGTTTTTTGTGTTCCCCTCCCATCCCTCCCTGCTTAGCTTCCAGCGCTTTCATCAGGACTAGAGAAGAGAGAATGCAATTGCAGCGTCTGACAAATCTTTGCAACTCCGCTCGTATTGGACAGATTCTTCAAATTTTTGCGGCGTTGAATTTGTGAGGCAATACACTTTTCCAGTGAATCATTTCTATGGTTACTTAAAGTGTTTAAAGGCCTCATAAAATGAACATAATCCGCCCATATCGATTAATAATTTTTCTAAGTTTAAAGGCCAGTTAGACTGGCTTATATGTTCCAAGGACAGTAAACTTTAAAACAAAACACAGTTTGCAGCTTATCACTTGCGTTCACCTGAAAGTCGAATCTTGTTGTTTTCTTCGAGCAACAACAACAAAGCATCTGCACAGGTCTTGATTTAATTTTAAAAAAGGTATTGAGCAGATTAGTTGTGTCAAGAATGTGATACATGTACCATTAAATTCGGTTAGAAAATATTCGAACCAAATCACTATTCGCTGTGAATTCACTTTGAACTTTAACTTCGCTATTCACATAGGCCTAATTTGAACTACTGTTTCTGATCATAAAAACTGTTTTCCATGCTGAACTGCTGTCAGTTACTTGAGTTCTCAAATGTGGCCAACATATTCTACCAATTTTATACCTATTTAGCTGACTCTCATTAGGCAGCTGGCAACATTTCACTTGATGTATCGGAGGCAGCGTTCACCCTGCACGTCATGTCAATGTTGGAAAACATCTACACCGGTGCTAGCGGAAGTAGTATCAGCTACGAGCATAGTCTCCCCATAGCTGTCGCATGTTCATTGTCTCCGTCCAACATATTAGCAGGCTCAACCAAGTCGTGTCGTCTTTCTGCCAGTGTTTTTTGGAATGAGCGTGCCTTCTATGTGTTATGTGCAGCAATGCCCGTAAAAAGCTAATTTCAGACTACGCGGCTCCATCATAACGACTACAAGCTCTGGATTGCACCTGAGACGACGAATTCTCACCGGCTAAGTGCAACCTATGCTGCAAAACTTTTAATGTGACTGCCATGAGTGAATCCGCTTTAAAATGTGACATGAAAAGTGCCAAGCATATTGGTGCAGTCAAGATGTGGCAAAGGAGTGCGCTGAAATCTACCTGACACACTGAGTACATTGAGGCTTCTAGAAAAAAAGATGTCAATCTGCCAAAGTTTGCCTCATTCAACAACTTGTTTGAGTTCCTTCAACAACTTGTATGAGTTCCATTCAACAACTTGTTTGAGGCTTTGCGGCCTGCAAAGTTGAATTTTTCATTGTGCTTGGCAATGACTGTGAAGCCTTTTCTGGTAGACATACCTGCCAACTCTTCAGATTTTCCCGTAAAATATACGAATTTCGACCGCGCTTACGATTTTACGAATATTGCTGGAAATTTTACAAAAAATATTTCATTTCCGATTAAAAAAAATAAAATTAGTAAAATAGCGTGGCTTCCGCGATTGACCATGACGCATTGCCGTAGCCGGTTTTGAGGCCACAAAAACGTTGGTAATATATTCCGCCACCAGGAGAGAACTGTCTATTAGTGTTATCTATTTTAGGAAACTCCATGGTGGTTATCATCATCACATACCTGCGAAGTTTTCTGCATTGTCCGGGAGACTCCCAGATTTTGACCGTCTCTTCCGTTTGTACGGTTGCCATGAAAATTTCCCAGAGATTGAAATTTGTGGGCAAGATCTGGCCGTATTGACAAAAATGCAGGTCAGTCCATTTCAGGTTTCTTGCGAGCCCACCACATTTTACTATAAACAAATTTGAGAGGCGTTCATATAAACATACAAAAGAGTCAGTGATACGAAAATGCAACAGATAGGAATTTCTAAAATTCCCTAGCCAAATTCATGTGTCCATTGGGCCAAAATTCGAATGTTTCGTGCACTTTTCCTAATCATGGCGTGTGATATGAACTTAAGTGCGGGAACCGTTAAAGGAAGGTTGATCGAGAGCAGCGTGCTCGAAGCATCAGAAGTATGCGTGCGACCAGCGCACGCACTGTCTTCTACAGTGCGTGCGGTTGTCGTTGTCACAACCGCTGTAGACGACACCGCGGTCGTTCGACACGATCATGTATGGCGACGACATTGCTGACAGAACTCCAAAGTGTGCCGCGGCCAACGCTCGACCAGTCAAAGCAATGCTGCTTTCTGCAAACTCTGTGGACAAAACCGCTGAAGTTGCGACCATAGATAGCATAAAATGACTAAGTTTTAAAGACACATGGATTGAAAACAAAACTACCGTTTGCCGCAAACCATTGTGCACAAAACTGTGGTCGTGGCGATGCGATAGGATTAAAGGGGTAGGATTAAATGCAGTAAGGACGTAAAAAGGGCTGGAAGCATTTTGTCGATACTGTCCAAAAAAATCTAGTAGCGAGCAAAGCCAAAGCTTTGATTCGCACTTTCGCGGCAGCCAGCTGCGCCGTCGCGTCCATTCACGTGTGAAGACATACACGAGTTGTTTTGACGAAAATAGATTCTTTTGCTAGTTGTTTTGATCACGCGGAATTTCGGGTGCATTTGCGGTCCTCCTGCATTTGCGGTCCTCCAGGCTGCAGACGGGCACGTTCACCAACCCCTACCATCTGCACAGCTTATGGCCCACGCTGCACCCGTCGCCTGGCTGCCCGTGGTGCGCGCATGAACAGGCCGATATGGCACATATACCTTGGCAATGCTTTGGAAGATAGGCCACTAGGAAGGACGACGTCAACTGAGGGACACTCCGAAATTGGGCACCTTGCTGAGCGATGGCAAGCTGCCTTTCTCAGCGAGGCCCTCGAACACCAGGTGTGGGCCGGCCAGTGGGCCAGGGCCGTCGCCGAGGACCTCGGAAGATGTTCCTCGAACAATGTGTTCCTGGCAGCCTAGCCTCGGGCATAGCAACAACCATTGGACAAATACAGTTAATTCAACTCAACTACATGCTATGCTCATAGTGCGCTCGCGGCATTTTTGCTAGCTTCACAGATATACAATTTTGTGTTATGGGACATGAATGTATGACAAAGAAATATGACTGGTGGAAACATGATAATCATGAGATGTATATTGTGTAAGAACATGACTACATACCACGCTGATGATACGCTCACGGCCGTTTCGCTATTTTCACATATACCAAATTCGGTATTACGTGACGTGAATGGATGACGAAGGTAGATGACTCGTCGAAACATGATAATTATGACATGCGTGTCATGTAAAACGTAATTACATGCTACGCTCATAGCGTGCTTGTGGCGTTCTCGCTAGCTTCACATATACCAAATTTTGTGTTATGGGACATGAATGGATGATGAAGGTATATGAGTGGTGAAAACATGACAATCATGATGGTGATCATAAGAAGTATTCCGTGCTTTTCATAATCATACACGCATGTTATGTAAGAACATGACTACAGACCACACTCATCATATGCTCACGGCTGTTTCACTATCTTCACATATACCAAATTTGCTATTACATTACGTGAATGGATGACGAAGGTAAATGGCACGTTCACATGATAATCCCGACATGCATGTCATGTAAAACATGACTACATGCTACGTTCGTAGCGTGCTCGCACTGGTTTCACTAGCTTCACATATACCAAATTTGGTATTACGTGATTGGAATGGACGACAAACACAAATTTCAAGCGCAAACATGGTAATCGCAACATGGAAGTCACGTGCGGCATAACAGCTGGTGCTGGTATTGCGAACGATAGTGGTGCCGTCCTTATGCGACTATAAACAACCTACCAACCTACTTGCAGCTTGTCTTGATACGTGAGTGAGCATAACATTTATAATTATGTTTATTGTTTACTACGTTCGTTCGCCTCGTGACCTTTTGCGTGAGGTTTCAACCTTCCTCGTTCGTGCCAATTTTTTTATTTTGAAAAAACCTGTCTGCTTCCGCTCATCTTGCAGGTTTGTCGGTGACATTGTTGAGCCCGTGCGGAGTGTGAAAAACATCACTACTAAAGAAGCCGCATTTCAGGTGAGTTCTAAACATCATGAAGGGCTCTGTTCTTTCATTTGTCTATTCATACCACACACATACTGTCAGCAAAGCTTCCATGCGAACTACAATGGTGTTGTTTGTTGATTAGCATATTTGTGTTGTATTCTATATTTAGATCCAGAGCAAAATGGCCACACTTGCAAAAATTTGTGCAGCATGGTACACTGGCAATTTGGCACTAATCTTTCAAAAAAACAGGCTGGTATCTTCATTCAAATTAAACACACTTTGTATAATTATGAAAAAGACATTCAGAGCGGAACTTTTAACACTCTTATCCAGTTGTCTCCACTTGAGAGGGGCGTGAGGAAAAAAAGTTGCACAACTAAGATGAGACATTGAGCAATAAACCCTTGCATAAAACTATTTAAAATGTCCAAAGAAACATAGCTGATGCCTTTATCATAGGAATCGGTATAACACAAAAGAGTGACTTGTCTGCTACAGAAGTATGTAGTGTTCCTACTTAAAAGAACAGAACAGCATTATAGCTTCAGTATGGAACTGGCGTCCATCTTAATCTGCTTTATTTCTAACTTCATCCTTCTCTTCTTTCCTGCCACCCGGCTCTCGTGCTTCTTCTTCTCCTGTCCCAAGGCTCATACCGCTTCACCCTTTCCGGTTTCTTTTTATTACCCCTTCTGGGGTAATATTTGAATACATTTCCAATTGAAGCACATTCAACTGATCCACGTTCACCAGTGTACCAGACAGTCTTCAAAATTCCATTTTGGGTGGCTGTCTTGGTCACACAGCCATAAAATTAGACACTGTCATCTCATATTCCTTTTCTCACTAGTACGTGGTCGGTGACTTGAATGTCTGGCATGTCTGCTCGACGCCTCTTGTCGAAATTCTTTTTCATTCGTTTTCGGTATTTCCTGTGATTTTTCTTGCCTTTCCTCAATGATCTTGATGTTTTGCAAGAGTCCGGTCTGCCTGCAGAATAGGGGTTTCTCCTGAAGAAGCGTACTGTGGACTGCACCCCAACCCACTTGTATAGGATCGATTATGATGTTTCACGATGGCTTCCAAAGAAAATTTCTATCAACCAGGAAAATTATCGTACATCTTGATGTACTGTTTCACGTCCCGTATAGTACGTTCTGCCAGCCCGTTCGCTGCGGGATGGTATGGGGCACAGAACTTGATCAATATATTGTGATCTCGAGCCCATCTTGCTAGCTTTTCGCTCTTGAACGCAGGGCTGTTATCGCATACAATTTGACCGCGTAGTCTTCAAACATGTCTCCTTCGAGGAGGGTTATGACACTATTTGCATCTCCTTTTCCTTCTCGTGCAGCGACCATCCTCGTGCATTCATCAATGGCCAGAAGAAAAGCTTGCGTTTTCTTGACTCCTTCTCGCTTCTTATTTAGTTCAGCGAAATCCAGGTGAACTACTTCGAAAGGCACGTTCGAGTGGCAAGGTAGAGTTATAAGCATCCGTAGGCTGTTTATACTTGACTTTGTGTATTTGACACACATGGCAGGAATAAACGTACTGACTGGCGTCTTTCTTCATGTTAGGCCATGTAAATCTCTTCACCAATTTGTTGTAGGAGTGCCAAAATCCGTCGTGTCCTCTAGATTCTGGGCTATCGTGGTACAAATAAAGGACTCTGGAAACAAGTGTTGGTGGGGCTTGATACCGACCTTCAGTAAAAACTAGTTGTGCGGAGCCTTCCTACAGCATCACTTCATTGACTTCTTCTGATTGTTCCATGTTGCTTCATACCATCAACCTTGATAGAGCATCTGCATATGTCTAATTTCTTGCTACAGCCTCGACTAGAACCACATCATCCCAGTATACGTTGATCTTTCATTTCTTTATATCTGGTCTTAATAGCAAAAAGTCGTCCGTCAAGCCCTCTACCACCAACACTTCGCTCTCTATTTTCTGAACCTGGAACTCGATGTTTGCAAAGGCCCACTGATCATGTAACGTTACTTTTCCATTATAGCCTTGTACCCGTAGGACTCTCCCACTATGCACCCGACGTGCATCCACCATCTTGGCATTTATAATAGACGCAGATGCACCGCTGTCTACGAGAGCCATCATCGGCTTGTTTCCTACTTTGACAGGAATGTGAAGTAGGCTACAGCAACTTAAATAAACAGTCTCATTTAGAGTCATTGGGTGGGACGGATCACCTTCATTTATCAGTTTTTTTTCTGTCGAATCCTCCTGAGCTTCAGTGTCGATATTATTCACTCGACCTCTTGGAGCGCGCCAGGTCAAGGTATCCGTGCTACTTGAGAGGTGGCTCGGTTCTCGCTGATCGCGGCTTGACCAGTCCGCTTTTCTCCGATTGAAACAGCTGCTTGAATTATTGGTTATGCTTGTTTCCGAAGTTGATGGTATGTTCTGAAGACACTCCAGGAGGTCATCTAGAGTTTTGGTGACCGTGTTTGCACCCGCATCAAGACTTCAGTGTGTAATTCATGCATTATTAGGGCTACTACGGCCGTATATGGAAGCAAAGGCTCAGCTAGCTTTAAAAGATGGCGTTTCCTGAAGAAGTACTCCACAAGGGAGCTTTGCTTGGACTTGAAATTAAGTGCTGTACTCCATCTATGTATTAGATTTCTTCCGAATGCGGTCAAAAGTTTCTTCTTCCCCCAACTCCAAGAGTCACCACTGTCTTTCTGAATGCATATGTCATATCACTTGAGCGCAACACCTCTCAAGTAAACACGCATGTTAGTGATGTTATCCTCGTCAGAGAGCCACCTGTTTTTTTCAGCGGCATATTCGTAGAACGCAAGCCAACTTTCTGGACTTGTAGACATACCGTCGAAGCCACCAGGCTCTACGAATTTAGGCACCGGTTCCTCAGCACTTAGAGAGCTTATAAGGGATGTCATAATTTGGTTCTGTTGCACAATCTGTTCATGTTGCAGCTAAAGAGCTTTCAAATTGAGGCTCACCTCTTCCGTCGAAGACCTTGATCCTGAGTCTCTTCGACGCACTGGTTCAAGAACTAGGTTGTAGAAGGTCGCCACACGCAAGTTCACTTTTACAGCAGCTTTCCATCGTAGTTCAGTAGTGTCCACGGCTGCCTTTCCCACAACCAGGTTCACGAGTTCTAAGCAGAGCTCACGAGGTAGGTCCACCGCTGCTTCATTTTGAACTTGACACTTCGAAAAGATGATTTTGTCCGTGACGGTCTCGTCAATGAAGAACGTCACCCACATGTTGGCTTCGATGGCCTGCTGCGCCAAAATAATGTAGTGTTCATACTTAAAAGAACGGAACAGCATTATAGCTTCAGTATGGAACTTGCGTCCATCTTAATCTGCTTTATTTCTAACTTCATCCTTCTCTTCTTTCCTGCCCCTGGCTCTCGTGCTGCTTCTTCTCCTGTCCCAAGGCTCATCCCGCTTGAAAGTGTTTGGTTGTATATATAGCGCATTGATTTATCAGAGCTAGGATAATGTCTATTGGTGATGATGATGAAATAAACATTTTTCGAAACAGTGTTCCCGAGTTAGTGAGCTCGGGGTCACCCTAGGTGGGAGGGTCCCTTATTCCAGGAATCCTCTGGCCGCAATCGCCTCCCGGGTTCTGGCGACAAGTCCTCGTTGGTCGTCTACGTCACGTGTGGCAATCTTGGCCTCCCACGTCTTGGCTAGGGGGTCGATACATGCAGCCGTTGCGGGCTTGGTATTGGCATCTTCGTAGCGCCACAGGCACTCGAGTAGTAGGTGGGCCAGTGTGTCTGGCACGTCACATATAGGGCAGTTGTAGGCGTGTAGCGTTGGGTAGATTCTATGCAGTAGGGTGTCTGTGTATAGGTGTTAGCTTGAAGTCTCCGAAATGCTGTGGCCTCTTCTTTAGTCAGCTTGGGGTGAGGTGGCGGGTACACCCTGCGAGCTAGACGATACTGTTGTAGGATGGTGTTGTATGTCGGTGGTACGGTCTCCACTTCTTCTGCAGCGCTGGCTAACCACGGGTCAAGCGAGGCGCTGAGGAAGGTCTGGTTGATGTGTCCGCGAGCTGCGGCGTTACTTTCTTCATTTCCCTCAAGCCCCTCATGCCCCGGCATCCATACCACGCAGGTGTAAGGAAGTGGAGTTCAGCTCTTTCTCAGAATTTTGAGAGCTTCTGCAGAGATTCGGCCTCGTGTTTAATTACGGACAGCGGATTGGGAATCTGTGAAAACTACGACCGCATGTTTACCAGTCGTAGTGGCAAAGGCGATCACTGCTTCCTCAGCAGACTCGGAGCTCCGCACCCGGTGGGCGGGGGATGTCAGCTCTTGTCCTTCTGCGTCGACCACACTTGAAGCGTAGGCGTTTTTGCTCGGGTATTTAGCCGCGTTGGTGTAGCGAGCGTCTGGATCGTGCTGGTGTTTTTTGTGGATGGTGTCGACTCTAGTGATTCGTGTTTGCCAATGGTACTCGGGATGCATATTACGCGATACTTGGGCGATGCTTAATGATTCTCGCAGGTATGGCGGCATCCTCTCTTTGCGGTCTGCCTCGCAGATGTAGCTCTCGCATAACGATAAAAATTGTGACTGGTGCTTGGAGCGACGTCAAGCAAAGCGCCGCTGTAAACTTTCTTTGCAAGCCAGCTGACAACTTCAGGCGCATCATGACCACTGACAACAGCGTATGGTGCCTCAGTAAATTTCGCGACTTATCAGCATTTCCTGGCATTATCTTGGACAATGAGAGACTTCATCAGTGCAGATGACAACGCAGTTGTTTCTGACTGCATCGATGCTGAGATCATGGCTGCTGTTACTGGTGCCGCGGAAGTGTACCCGCACGGTTATGAATAAGCCAATGCTTTTGCTGTCACTGGTAATCAACATTTTGCCGCGCTACAAAGCTTGCATTGGCGTTCTGCATCAATCAATGCTGTTATGGCCGAAAGTGCTGAATTCGCTTATTTGAAAAGCTTCAGTGATATTGAGAATGACTGGAACTTGACGGCGTGCAAGAAGGTAGACAAGTTTAAGGACTATTTTCATGCGAAATAATGTGCGGTAACTTGCAGTTCAGATCTTGTTTCTCATTACACTGTAAGTGAATCATTATGAAGCAACATTAAAAGTGGTGTTGGTGATAGTTCGCGTTTACTTATAAGTGCACAGAGACAAGCACAAAAGGAACAAAGGGGACACTGCTGCACTTGCAACTAGTTTATTTTGCAGAAAAGACACGGTTAATATACAACATGATAGTGTACCATCTGTTACAATGGCGGTCAGGTTACAGCATATTTCCCAAAAAGAGCAATTCGCAATCGCTTAAACTATCCGATGCTTGGATAATACAGTTATCTTTTTTCTACACTTATCTTTTCTTACCTATGTAGCAGCCTAAAACATACAGGGTTTCTGAAGAAAAGAACAAGAAATGTGTCCCGATACCATATGCAGACAAAATATCACAAAATCTAAAGAGCGTAGTCGGCAAATACCGCTTACACATTGTTTTTTCTGTTCCAAAGAAACTCTGAAAAGTTTGTGCCAGGCTGGATCGAAAGCCATTGGCAACAAAAAGATAGATTTCGGTGCTCCGTTAAGCATGTTTCTACATTTGTAGAGTGCAGAACTGCGGTGGTATATTGTTTGCCCTTGTCATGTGGGAAGATGTACATCATCCATACTAGCCGATGCATGAATACAAGGCTTTCAGAATATACAAGAGAACATGAGCAAGCAATGCTTACTTTCACATTAGGCGGCATTTCTTAGAGTGTGACTGCGCTCCACTGTTTTCTGGGACAAAAATAATTCCCAGTCACAGGGATCAGGTGGCCAAGAAAGTTATCAAGGCCTTCCACATTGCAAAAAGAAAAGATAACTGTATTAGTCAAGCATCGGTTAGTTTAAGCGGTAGCGAATTGTTCTATTTGGAAAATATGCTCTAACCTGATCGTCATTGTAACTTGTGGTGCACTATGATGTTGTGTATTAACTGTGTCTTTTCTGCGAAATAAACTAGTTGCGAGTGCAGCGGTGTCCCCTTTGTTCCGTTCGTGCTCGTCTTTGTGCGCTGGTTCATAAGTAAACATGTTAGTGCTTGTAACGAGTTCTAAGGCCTGAAATGCTTTAATTTAGGCTTTAATATGCATATTTTGTATTTCAAATTATTGATATATCGAACTATTTCGCGAGCCCCTTTGAGTTCGAAATATTCGAGATCATATGTACCTCCTGATGTGGACTCAACCACATTGACGCCTAGCGACGCAATTGCCCACGATCACAATTTAACCTTTATAGTTGCTCAAGTTGTTAACATATACCTGGACATGGCATATAGTGTATTCTGGGCAAAGGTGGCAACATCAAGCACTTTATAATAAACACTGGTACTCATTCTGCACTCCTTCAAAGCATCATGAAAGGGGAAGAGAAAGGCAACGTGCATCATGTATTCCCTCTAGCTCGGTCATGATTTCTCACATGGCATTGTGGACTACCCTATGACAGTCGGTTGATTGTGGGAAAGGTAAATTTTAATACGGATCAATGTTACGAGCGAGGGTTGGGTGAAAGGTGGCTCCTCGTGGTGTGTTGGAGCAGTGACAGAATTACACTTCTAGTTGCGGGATCGAATCCCGGCTGCGGTGGCTGCATTTCCGATGGAGGCGGAAATGTTGCAGGCCCGTCTGTCCAGATTTGGGTGCTTGTTAATGAACCCCATGTAGTCGTAATATTTGGAGCCCTTCACTATGGCGTCTCTCATAATCATATGGTGGTTTTGGGACGTTGATCCCCACATATCAATCACATCAAATATTACACTTCTATTAAATATGCGTCAAATGGTACGGTAGTAGCAATGGTGCTTTGCCTTGAGCTTATTGCGAAAGCCACGCAAAAATCTGACTGATCTGTTTTGAGACCCTGTGGCAACCAAGAGCACTGCGAGAGATATGAAAGACGCATTCGTTTAGGTTCCACCATGACTGTGGAGGTGGCGCAAAACGTCCACCTGCCATCATTGTGGACTGATACGTTTTTCTTCGCTGTCTGTCCACATGTATTACACTGCCATATTTTCGGGATAGATATACGTCATAAAAATCTTAGTGGACCCTGGCATAAAATACTTTCATGTTAAAAAGTGGAACACACAGAAAGAAACAAAGACACGGTGCTAGACTCGCAACTGTTTTATTGCTTTGAATGCAGGGCTTTTTATGGCATGCATGTGTGGAACGGCAGGGCGATTACATAAATATTGTAATGTTAATGGCACAGCACAACAAATGCTGAAAAGGACAAGGAATGGTAGCACTGCCGTGTAAAACCCTAACCTTTTCAGTCCCAAGAATGCACCAATGAAAAAAAGATTTTGCAAAACTGTGACTCCCTGCCCTAAAAACAAACGCAGAAAAATTGAAATGTCTCAAACTGTGATGGTGCCCATTTGCCATTTGCGTACTCCTGATCTTTTGAAGTCTGAAGATTGAGTGCAACAAAAATATCAGACTGAAATAACTTTCAGTATGATCCACAAAGTGTCCACAGTTAGAGGAATGCACCAAAGACGATGTCGTTCGCACGACGACAAGCAAACTTTCAACTTTCACTTATCATGAGGACGCATGCGAGAGCTCTAGCAGTACCCTGTCATTTTCGTTCGCTCATTTTGTGAATACGACTCCACACACGGCGCCACTTCTCGGGGCTTCGTGAAAGCACCGCTTTCTTATTGTGCCAAAATAAATTTGGACACGCGGATATCGAACTGTGATGATCTGTAGCCTTGCGAACAACGGTACCCAATCGGGTACCCAGAGACCTAGGAGGTTAAAAAGGATGCACACTCACAATATCCAGGGCAAAAGTACAAGAAAAAAGTAGTTACAGGTTCTGAGACACAATCTAAAACCAAACCTGTCATTGAAGTTGCACAAGTGCAAATATACAAACTTGGAAAGAAAGAAGGAACAGGAGAGAAAGGAAAGACAGGAAATATGGACACGAGGTTAACAGACTGCTGGTGAGGAGGCATGCACTGCTGGCAGTGGACCTCTTGTTAAATAGGGAAGTACAGTAAGGGCCTACTGACACATCTATCACCACGCCTTGAGTTTAGGCTCCCTGTAGAATTGCTCGACCAAGTTGCTCACTATGCCTGCCTATGACAGTGCAGCCTTCAAAATGTTGGGAGCAGCAGCCACCCGTTGACAGGTTCTGTTGGTGGTCTCCGAGACAGGAATCTACCCAATTGTCTGCTATATTATGCACATAAATCTCTTGCAGTTGGGCGTGCCCGACTGGATCCTGGAGCTGAGGCATGCGTCAGCGCATGCATCTGTCAGTGGTGCAGCATTTCTGGGTATCCTACGATCGGCGGCATCCCTACTGCTGCAGTGGCTGCGCCTTCATCACTGGGAGCCACAGAGGGACACGTTGGTGGCCCCAGAGGCATCGGCCATGCTCTGTTCAAAGAATGGCAATGATGCCGAGCTTGCGTGCTGCAGCCCAACCCAAGTGCGGCAGATACTAGATGCCTGGCTGTTGGTGTCCGTCAAGGCAAGCAACCATGTTCTCGTTATGATGCAAAATAGTAATGTCAAGATATGGGTTAGTTGATTCTCAAGGGAACAACAAAATACACAGCTTTTTACAGCAAAGCTTAAGCTTTTGGTTAGGCTGGGTAGCATTTGCTAAATGTCAGCGCAGCTTTGTGCCGCATTGTGTTGCCTAGCAATCGCATGCTACAGAAAGAGAAAAGGAAGAGCTGGCAGATTTAACGTGGGATATTTGCACCAAATTGAAGTAGAATTGGGGTAGGCTACACACTATTGGCGTGGTAGCATTGGTGGCCTTCCCCTTCTTATCCTCCTCACCTTCACTTCTCTTTCTACACATCAATCGACTATTCTATACATGGTCAATACTTCACTCTCCCTCACTCTTACTTTTCTTTCCGACCTCTTGATCTACTATTCTATACATGGCTTTGATGTGATTCACTCTCCATATTCTTTTTCCTGCTCACTCTAACTTCTCTTTCCCACTTCTTTCTAATATTCTAACATGGCATTGATATGCTTCACCCTGCTCTTCCCTCTGCACCCTATATTCTCTTTCCCATTTATTGGTGGTAGTAGTTAGAAGATGAGAAAAGGCACCTAATTTCTGCAACCCGGTTGGGAGCACGGCGCAGTGCCTGATCCACTTATTGCTCTACTACTCTATACATGACATTGGTATGCTTCACCCTCAATTTTCTTTCTCACTTATTACTCTACTATTTTATACATGGCATTGATATGCTTCACCCTCCTCACCCTCACTCCTCATTCCCACTTCTTGCTCTACAATTCTATACATGGCATTGATATGCTTCACCCACTTATTGCTCTACTATTCTATACATGTCATTGATATGCTTCACCCTCCTCTTCTTTTCCCTCCTCACCTTCAATTCTTTTTTCACTTATTGCTCTACTAATCATGTACATGTAATTGATATGCTTCACGCTCCCTCTTTTTCCCTCCTCACCCTCACTTTTATTTCTCACTTCTTGCTCTAATATTCTGTACATGGCATTGATGTTTTTCCTCTCCTTCTCATTTGGACTCCTCGCTCTTTATACACAATGTAATATCTCTACAATGTGCGTTCTTCAGGGGTCTGTGAATATTCAAAACTTCGAATTTCTTTTGAATATTGTTTGCTATTTGATTTGTTTCACACTCCAATTTTACTTTAACAGTTCGAACTTCCCCAAAGACACAGTCAACGTCAGGTTGAAAGTGGCCTCTTCCGAGTTTCAATGTGGTTGACCTCATCACTAGAGACCAGATTATAGGCAAATGCCTATTTTGTTCCTTGCATTCCTATCGTGCCATTTTGATATATGAGCATGAATTAGAGGTTAAGAAAGGCTTTTATGGTTTTTATAATGCCTATAAATGCCTATTTTGGGTGTTTGTGCCTAAATGCCTATAAGTGCCTAAAAGTGCCTATTTTTCAAATGAGTGCCTATATGAACGCCATGGAAGCCCAAATTTTGATTTCAAGCATGGTGTGAAACCATTATTCATGTAAAGAAGGCAGCATTGATATTTCCAAACAATATAAGGTTCAACGAATACAAAGCTGACATGCTACGAGTGATTGGAGGAGGAGCATGAGGAGTGCAAAAGACGCTATTTTTTCTACCCTAAGTGGAAGCGCGCCTCAGCGTCTGCCGGGGAAGGAGAGAGAATGAAAGTTGGGATAAGAAAATGAAATTAAAAATCTGAAAGTAAAAGTCCTGAAAACCTGAGTGTTGCAGTGGGAAAGGAAGAGCAGGGTTTTCTGGGCAGGCACGGGTAGGTGGAGAACAAATGAAAAACCATGCAGGGCCTCTCATGGAATGCTCTTGTTGATTCAGTGGTGGCAAAGGTCGCCAAATCGTTATACTTTATTGAGTGAAGCCTGAGATAGGCGCCGGTATGTTTACAATCAACGGTGTGGTTAGCATACATTCACCGTATGCTTGAATACGCTTGTTCTGTACATGATCCCTTGTCATGTCTTTTTAAGTGACATGAAAAAAAAACAGAAAAGGGCTTCAAGATTTGTTCTAAGCCATTACTGAAAAATGACTGCTGTGAAAATATAATAAATCGAATAGGATGGGAATTACTATCATTGCGTTGAATTAAACTGTGGTTAAAACTTCCATGTCAGGCATTTCATGGTAAAACTCGCATTCGAAAATGAATGCACCTAAGCAATGCTCTTCTTGCAATGATGATTAAGATTTTAGAATGTTGTATCAGATATAATTTTTCTATTAATTTGTTTTTGTTAGTTTCATGACAGAATGAAATAGCTTATAAAGAGAACAAAGTGTGTTTGTTGTGTCAAGGAAGGCGTGTTTTCTTTGATATTGTTACCATTCTGCTGCAGCGCCTACAGGTAAAAAATGATGTGCACGCGGCTTTTGTTTTGTTTGTAATTTACTTTTCAAGCATCCCTCTCTATGTGACATATTAAGTTGTAGTTAGACACTAGAAGTTCTTGCGTCCTCAACAAAAAATTGTTCTAACATGGTGATTTTTCGAATTAGTTCGCTACGAGTCATCAAAGCTTGATGCGAAGAAGCAAGCTTGAATCTCTTGCCTCTCGTCCCATGTAGCCATCGCGAGCCTCATTCATTCTCTGTTCTACTTGGTATCGGGGCTGAAGAATCACATGACGTATACGCACCAAGAACACCATGCGTAAGCAAGGTCACACGCGCATGATGTGCTCCAGCCTACTTGTGCACGTATGCCATCGATGTTGTGTCGTTTCGGCGTTCTCTGTTGTGTATTAGCTGTTTCTGTGGGATGGATGTCAGTGCATGTACTTTAGTAGAGCCTGGCAGGGATCATGTATTGCAACCATGATACATCCCATTGCTCCGCTGAAACTGCGGTCAGAGACTACGCACAAAACGCAAGCTAAGCGTTGTCAGGGTTGGTGAAGGCACGATACAGCAACGATGAGGCAAACGCAAGCGAAATGGAGTAGTAGTAGTAGTAGTAGTAGTAGTAGTAGTAGTAGTAGTAGTAGTAGTAGTAGTAGTAGTAGTAGTAGTAGCAGCAGTAGCGGCAGCAGCAGCAGCAGCAGCAGTGGGGGGGGGGGGCGGCGGCGGCAGTAGCAGTAGAGTAGTAGTAGTAGCAGCAGTAGCAGTAGAGTAGTAGTAGTAGCAGCAGTAGCAGTAGAGTAGTAGTAGTAGCAGCAGTAGCAGTAGAGTAGTAGTAGTAGCAGCAGTAGCAGTAGAGTAGTAGTAGTAGCAACACTAGCAGTAGAGTAGTAGTAGTAGCAGCAGTAGCAGTAGAGTAGTAGTAGTAGCAGCAGTAGCAGTAGCGGCGGCGGCATGTGTGGTGTGTGGTTTTACGTAAAAAAAACCCGATATGAGTATGGGGGATGCTATAATGGATGTCTCCACAAATTCTGACCATCTGGTGTTCTTTAATAGGCACTGACATTGTGCAGTACACGGGCATCTACTTTTTTCACTCCATCTAGATGTGACCGCCGCGGCCACAATCAAACTCGCGGCGTTCAGGTCACCAGCGGAGCATTCTATTGCGACTGGTGCACGGAGGCAAACGCGAAACGAGGAACGATTAGTGAATAGCATCTCGAGGCTATTCAAAACAAAAATAAAAATAATAAGCTGAGATTCTGTTTGCATGTTTTGTTACTTTTCTCAGCTTTCATTCAATATATTGATTTTGAAAGGGCAGTGAAAAGACACAGGGAACAGAAAGACATAGAGACAAAGAGCGTCTTTCTTTTCTCTTTGTCTTTGTGCTTCCCTTTCAAAATGATATGAAGCAGCTAGCTCAAACCAAAGTACTCCTCATTCATGCTACACAACAGAGCAGACAAATTGTACATGCCAAGTAGAGTGATGTCACGTGCAATGCTCTAAATGAAGTACCATTTAAAATGCAGGATATAATCGGGACATGGGACATTTTTTGTCTGTTTTTCTAGATATAGCTAGCATCTAACGAAGTTCTGATGAAGATCGTATGGTGTGCCACGTCCGTCCACCAATGTCAACGTAGAGGAGCAACGTAAAAACAGGAACATTCCTTGCTGTTCGTCACTCCCTAGATCTTGGTGTGCACCACCGCGAAAAGGGCAAGTGGCATTCATTAGGAATGAGCGTTTTTCCGCGACATGTAATTTTGCAAATCTTAACAGGAATGATCCGGAGTGCCCAGCGCACCATTACGCTTGTCAGCTCGAAATGCCCACACCTAGTGAGGGGCTCTATAAAGTGTTCACCGATAAGAGGAGAAATCGGTCCTACGCAATTAAACCTAGTATCCCTCTCTTCTAGGGGTATCAGTGATCTGGTTATTTGCTCTTGCGCTGCCCTTCCCAGCCACAACGAAATGAGAGACACAGGAGAGTGTTAACTGATTGGTGGACACTTGACGCACAATGCTATACAATAAAACAAAAGACCACATTGCAAATCGTGCGGGAAATGCATCCATGTTCAGTCGATTGGTACCCTTCTGCTTTCCTAAACAATATTTTCTTTTGCTTCTTGCCGTTGATACAAGTCACCGACGTTGTTCTTATGGAACATTCCAATTTTTGTAGAAAAGAATTGTGCCTATAAATATGATTTTGAGGGCCTAAAACAGTGTTTTACCTACCTATCTTTGACGCCTAAAACACACTTTTTTAGTGCCTAAAAATCCGGCCTCCACACTCGTGACACTCATATTGCAGCAATGATGCTTTTTGGGCCCCACTATGTCAGCAAAAGTATTGAGTCAAGAAAACACTTTTTCCATGGAGATGATAGGTGGCAGCTCAATTAATGCTATTTTAAACCTGACATTTTGGCAGAAAGTCAGAAAAATTGGGCGTCCAAGATTTTAACATCCAAACTTCAGATGCTCTCATGTATTAATGTATTAATGTGTTTCGAGGCAGATTTCGAACTTTAAATGTGAAAGTAACTTGAAGGCTTTAGGGGGGGCATCCTTGTTCGCCACATCCATTGAGCTTCGACAAAAGT